CCGGGTGCGTGCTTCGAACCACTCCGAGCGCTGCTTGCCTGGCTCCTGCCTAGCACTGCTGCTGCTGGTGTGGGCTCGTTTCTTTAGGCTGGTCCTCTCCTTTTGGGTTTTTCGGGTTTAGGCCCTTCCCTCCCCTTAGGAGCCCTGTGTGCAAATGAGGTGCGCTTTGGCCTCTCGCCGAATGCTTATGCTCTACTTGGGCTGCTGGTGCCGGCCCGGGTGTTTTCGCATTTAATACCTTTCGCGCGTGATGCCTCACGATTTCTTGACTTTCACGTGGCATCCTTTCTTGACGGCCCTCGTTCCCTTTCGGGTTGTTCGGGTTTTGGTCCTGTCCCCTTCCCTAGGGTTTCCTGTGTGGACTGGCTGTGCTCTGGGCGTAAACCGCGAGCGGCACTGCTCTGCCTCTTTGGTCTGGCGCTGCTGCTGCTGGTTTGGGCTGCTGGCTCACCCTTCCTCCTCTTCTTCGTCTACTACAAGGGCGGCTGCTGTGGGCTGCGGAAGCGAGGTCCTCTGAGCTCCACCGACGACGCCTTCTGAAGTGACGTGAGAGCCTCCCGTGTAGTTTTGAGTTCTTTTCGGATCTGTAGCCCTGCTGCTCCGAGCTTTTGGGCCTGACTCGTAGCTTTGCTGCTCAGGCCATGTCGTTTCGAGCTTCTTTCCGAACTGTTAATTGCTGCTCGGAATGCTTCCGGATGTGATTGCGTTGCTAATCCGATACATCCAATTCGTTGCTTTTCACAAGAGGAGGTACATGTCAGACGGACTGCGGCTTCCTGACTTCCCTCCCATTCAACGTGTGGCGAAGGCTCTCAATGATGCCTCGTCTCTTTGTTAATAGTGTCGCTGAGAATCATCGCTATGGACTTGTGCTGCACAGCTTCGCACTCTCCTAGATGAATCAGCATGTTGCGGGATGTTTCACCCGACCCGCGAGGACCTCGGACAGCAGCTGAGCGGTCTTCTCGAAGTCGCTCAGCCCCCAGACCACCGGAAATTCTGGAGTTTTGTGGAAGACACGTTTCCGCGGGCGGATAACTCTTTCCACCTAAACTCCAAGGTTGTTTTATTTGAGGGAAATCCTTCGCCCTCAAAATGGCGACAACCGCGAACCGTTTAATTGCATGATTTCAATCTTTTAAATTTGTGTGAAATCATGATTTTATCACACAAATGTTTTTATACCTGTCTGGTCTTTGCATGCAGTTCTTTTCACTCATGTCTCAGTTCCGAATGTTTAATGCACCGGCAGTTTGTAGCTCAAGTGGCTTTGGGAGCCACAAAGAAAATTTTTGTCCCACCCACCCACTCCTGGGGGGGCAATCGGGTGCTGACACATAGCGGATTCTCTTACCGCAAACCGCTTTGTGGAAACTCTACCACACGTGTTATGCACCGAAGTTGTCGGTGCGAAAACCCTTTTCGAACAGCCCCTTTCGAGTGCTCGGAAGAAAAGAGATCGCGACTTCAGTTGTGCGAATATATTCGGGAGCATTTTTGATAACTGGCTCCAATACTTATTATATTCTCGGGCATTCTTTATATTGAGCCCGGATACTGTTTCACGAATCTTTATGCAATATACGGTTCTGGAGTTTTGTGGAAAGATTAACATCGACCGAGCTGCTGCAGAGCGCTTCTGGCTGCACTGGAAGCAGGTAAAGGCGCCTTTTATGGAAGGCTTCGATTCAACGGATTTTGTACCACTGGCCATGTACGGTGATGAGGCAGAGTATACAATAACGAAGGAGAAGATCTTGGTATTCTACATCAGTAACTTTGCAAGACGGTTTTGTTGGTGATCACTTCGGTGCTGTTATCCCCGAACTTCTTACAATTCAGCTTGAACGGTTTGGGTTTTGGGATTTAAGGTTTATAGCGCTTCGGGTTTAGGGTTATTATTATTATAATGGTGCCAGCAGGTCTGGGATCTGGGTTTAGGTGTTCAGGGGTGTGAGGTTTATGCTTATTATACAGAGGCATAGAATCGACTGGCAAAGTTTTCAAGGTGACGTTATATAAATATGGCAGGTTATCCAGTTTTCGAAGGCTCCAAGACTGTATTTGGAAGTCGGTTTCCAGTGTTCGCCATCAGATCTGAGCGTTTGTTTGGATACGACACGATCTGGCCAGTGTTTGATTTCTTAACTTGGAGCATGAACACGATGTATTCGGGAACTTTCCCTGCAAAGAACCTGGCTGGTGATGATTTGTGCAGCTTGGGCCCAAACATGAGGCCAAACGACCCAATGTACGACGGTTACAAATTTCGATTAGTTGAACTTCGCGGCGATTGGAAACACCATGCCCACTGCTTCAAGTTGGTAAACCACTGGTCGTGCAACGACCTATGTCACTGCTGCAAGGCGTCGAAGACAAATCGGCTTTATCCGTACACTGACTTTACACGTCAGCCACTGTGGCTGTCTTCAATAAGGACCCATGCTGAGTTTTTAGCAGGACAACTTAATGAACCGATCAATTCACTGATCTACACGGCGAGGTTTGACTATAGGTTTATTCGCTTTTGCTCGGTCCACACGATACAGCTGGGGATCGCTCAGTTTTGTCATGGCGGCTGTTTTTTCGAGCTGTTCAAGGTTGGGTGGTTTGCTGGAGATGACAAGGCTTCGAAGATGAGACATGGTTTCATTCGTTTCAAAGAGTTTATCCGGAAACACAAGATTGAGTGTTCACAGCCCCCGTTCAAAAGCTATATGTACGTCACTGCGGGGGAGGAGTACTGTTACTTTGGAAGCAAAGCATCCTGGCATCAAGATGGTTCATGATGAGTTCTTGTGCTCAGTTCTAGATTCCTTCTCGAGCTATTACTAACTACCATATGGCCCTTTATTCTACTTCCCATTATAACCCATAGTGGCCGTAATGTGTTCGGTGACATGAGGCATACAACTCCCGAGTGATCACAAGCTGGCTGGCGGACGAATGCTGCAAGGCCTATGAGCAACACCCGACGGAGCGCATGCTTTTGACATACACGTGTGTGCATGCCTTGCATGCTTGGCACTGCGACCTGGAGCAGTGTGGCCGCTACCTCACCCAACCGGAGTCTTGGCTACGTGCGTAGTCAATCGTGCAGCTATTTTAGTGTGAATTTCTTTCTGCAATGTGCACTATAAAGTATTACCCTTCCCATTCCATGTTTCCAGGAAGCCGATGGCTTGTACGACTTGGCTCTGACCCACCTGCAATCCTACTTGCATTTGGCAAAGCTAGCGGGGGAAAACCGGGAGAAGCCCAGCTGAACTGGTACCATTTTCGCAGGACTATGTTAAAGTTTATGGCTCATTAAAACGCATCCCAAGTCATCTGCCTCAGGATGGCGTGGATGCTTCGCCCCAAACATCATATATTTCACCACTTATCAGTGTTTATGTGCGAAGAGCGATACAACGTTCGCTTTTACCATACATATAGAGACGAGGCTGCGATGCAAGTCGCAAAACGTTTCTTGGCCTCCATCTATATGTACACCCGAACAATCCTTAAATCCGTTAACGTTGGGCCCCACGACTCAAAAGATTCCGCTATATAGATGTTTATGTATGTATACATATATACGCACACTGTATACATATATATATGTTTTAATCATACATAACTGTAAACCCCAGAATAATCAATGACGGAAAACGAGCACTACCCAAGGCATCGCACGTCAGTGCCAACCTGATTGCCTGGAAGAAGCCTGGATTGGCAAATGGTACATGATGTGCCCTGGCCGAAACATAAGACATATCATAGCATCCCAGCCCTAATATAACCCATAATATTTGCCATAATATTTTTTTCGAAGACCCAAGGTTGCAACACGATTATTCGGCCCTCAAAGCCAAGCGGATCTGGAGACCGAACCAATTCAAGAGCCTTAAAGGCAAGCGTCGCAAGATTCGATGAGCCAATGCGCGGGGCCAGCTGTCGCATGCGCAGTGTCGCAGAAGCCGACATTGCCCCATAGATTCGATCCCTAGATCTGCATAACCCCTTATGCTAGGTATAACCTGCATCCCTAAGCCTCGTATAGTCCTAAGTCCGAAGGATCGATATCCGATAGCTGCTCAACTGATCCAGATTGCAAGCTGTGTGCCACCGATTCAAAAGCCAAACATGCAAAGAGCCCTGCCCAAGCCCGGTCCCACACCCTAACGCCTGGAACCCTGAACCTTAGCTTTACCTGGTTAACCCTGAAACCCTACGCTCTGAAACCCTATGCTCTGAAACCCTGAACCAAACCCGGAACCAAAAAACAGTTTAGGGAGTTCAGGGCTTAAGCTTCGGGGCGTTCGTGGTGAGTTGCGTTGAGCCAGATTCAAAGTCTGGGTCTCCAATTAATAATTATAAACTTGGCATGACGAACCCGGACTTCAGATTTGTGGCTTCGGAAGGTTTGGATTTTCGAATATTTGAAGGATTACAACTCCGGACCCAAATTATGCCCTGATCGTATCATTCGAGCTGAGGAATTCCTCATCCTGCATGCACATATAGAAAAACACGCACATGTACGCACACACACACACACACTCACATTAGTTATAATAACGACCCTACACCTTCAACTCTCGAGACCCTACAACACCTCAAACCCTAAACACCTTACATTTGCTTTGGCTCAAAACTGTTTGGCTCAATATCGCTTTATAATGAGAAGCGAATCACCTAATTGATTGCCGGGCCGGTGGTTCGCTATGCTTGGGCCTTGCAACTCGTTGCCGGCTGTCAGAAACATCAACATTAACGGCTCAAACCCAATTTTTTTGGCTCAATCGCATATTATTTGGTTCAAAGCCGGGTCGCTTACCCAGCTTGTTTGGTTCAATCGCTTGTTTTTGGATCAATGGTGGATCGTTTGGTCTGCCGGGCTGGTGGTTCGCTATGTTTAGGGCTTGCAACCAATTGCCATGTGTGTCCCGGCAAGACTCAGAGAATTATCAAAAAGTCAAAGTCCTAATAATTTTGAGCCTTTGGGCCGAGTCCTATTATTTTGAGCACTTTGCCAAGTCCATGATATACGAGGTCTCGGATCCCCAGGGCTTGTCAATGAACTCAGCGAGGGCAGCGTACTCAACGACCGGAGCGTCCCAATCAGATTTTCGGAGCTTGAAGGCGCCTTCCGGGGCCCTGCGTTGGATGACCCTCCAGCCATCACCGGCTTCCTGCCCGCCTGCCTCACCACAACCGCCTTTGCCCTTGCCCCGGCGTTGACCTGAGTCACCTGGGCCACCGCGCTGGGCCACCTTGGCTGGGCCGGATTTTTCTGCAGGTTTGCCCTTGCCTTTGGCTGCGCTCTGGCGGCCACCTGCACACTCACTGCCCGAAGCGTCGGGCTTGCCACCTGGGTGGCTCGTGGCCTGCTTGGCCTTACGCTTCCTCTTGCGCCTTCCCTTTGGCTCGAGCTGCATGGCTGGATCGCCGGACGGCCGGGCAGCAGCCACGCCCCGGCCGAGATTGAGCGACGCCAGGGCCTGCTTCACCGCCTCGTCAACTGCCTTTTGGATCTGCTCCTTGATCGACTTCATGATGCTATCGCCAAGGCTATCCCCAAGGTTACCAAGGTCAAGGTTGAAGCCAGGCCCAGGGTGAGAAGCCTCGCCCAGGCGGCATCCCCTCTTCCAGTCATGGCACACACTAAGCATCGGCTCGCCTGCAGGGGCCCGGCGGCCTGTCACGCAGCACCTAGGTGCACACTCAACCCCTAGGGGGCCTAGCGGCGCCGGGGCCGGCTGCTGGCGTCGCGGAGGACCTAGAACCCAAGAGGGGAAAGGGGGATGGCATCCATCACCTCGGCTCGTAGGCTCAGCAGGGCCTGGGTGCGAAGCTTCACCGAACCTAAACCCCAAATGCCAGTTCCAGGTAATCACTGCTGGTGGGCCTCGCGGGCCCGGGTGCTTTGCCTCACCCACACGGACACCTTGCAGGAATGCAAAGCAGCGCTGGATGGCAGGAAGCCCAAACTGCACACACACCGGAAGGCACGGAAGGGATTGCTGCACAGGCTGCACATGATCCACACTGGCACTAGGAAATACATGCGCTTGCATCACCGTCCAGATGGGGCCGCCAAGAAAGTCCGTGCCACAACTTTGCTCGATCGCACTGCCACCTTGGGCCGTGGCGCCCAGGGGGCCCCCGAGGAAGTCCACACCTGCCGGTTCGCAAGAGGCAGGGGACTGACACTGACACAGGCCGAGAGCTGCAGCACCGAGGCCATGGCGGCAAGGAGAGCTACTTTCGGAGGGGGCCCCGAACGGGCCGGTCTTAGAAAACATGTTACCAAGGAGGCAGGGAGAGGCCGGGCTAGGTGGCTCTTTGTCCTTCCACGGATCTCGGTTCTCGGGTCGGGGCCCTTACGCTACCACCTCTGACCGCCGGCTGCAAAGGAAGAGCAGCATCGCCATGGTTGGTCGCCTCCACTTCGGGAAGCCCAGCCGGCTCCGCATCTTCCTCAATCTCGTCAGCAGCCGGCCGCGTCACCAGCTCAGCGTCCGCCCCAGCGCCAGGTCGCCCACCAGAGAGCGGCAGCGCTGCTGCCACTTGCTCCCGGCTGCCCCGCTGCGGCTGGACATTGCATCGCGATAGGCCTCCGCCGGAGCAAGGCCAAAGTCCCCGTCAGCAAACCACAGGGTAGTGCTCGGGAAATGTCCCATCGCCTGGAGGCGCTCCACCCAAGGTGGGTCGCCATCACACCGCTTTGTCAGCTGCTCGGTCCAAAGAAGAACGAGGGCTTCACGTACATGAAAGAGCTCATCCACAAGCACAGCCGATCCCACAACTGCACTTGCATCCTCATTGAGCCTTTCCAGAAAGTCTTCGATGGAAGCATGCTCACCCTCAAGCATAGCTTTGAGAACATAGTTGCGCGGCGCAACTCCCCTGAACTTTCTGTAGCTGACAGGCAGGATCAGCTGAGTACTCGACGTCGCGGCCTCCATGGCCGCCAAATCCATCATCCTTTTCCGCTCAGCACCCACAGCGCCCCCCGAGGAAGGAGCCATGGCACAGTCGAGACGGACTTAGCCACCGAGCCTACCTACGGTGTTGTCCAGCTTGGAACTCGCGGAGTTCCCGTCTCGGGCCCAAGCTGCGTGTTCTCACGCCTTGAGTCGAACCTTTGAGCCTTGAGGGTTAGGGTCGGGTTTTAAGGGAAATCAAAAGTCGTTGGAAAATCAACTGCAGCTGACGCTCGAATGCATTCACCAAGGTTCCACACCAAAGCTCAAGCAGTTAACGATCGAACATGCAGTTGCTCAGAATCACTCTTGAGGCATCGCGCAATCGAAGGCATACTCGAAGACCATTGTTTTCAATCGGTGCGTCGAACTGGATCTTGCCGTCTGAAGCCTGGACCACATGTTCACATGACGGTCGCAGTTGCCTCGAGACCCCCCCCGAAGGAAGGCAGCCAGTCCGACATGTGAAGGATCACCAAGGTGTTTTGCTCGTCTCCTTCTCCCGGCGAGACATTGCCGACTCCCTCGAGACCAATCGCTGCAAGCTGACACGCGAATCCAAGAAAGCACTCCTGGAGTGGACCATGCGAAGGAAAATATCAAGCGGCAGATCGTCCAGCTTCAAAGGAACTCTCAGCTCCGGGCAGAAACTCGAAAAGTCGTGGTTGGTGATGGCATCCGACAAAGTGTTCTCATCTCTAGGCCTCCACTGCAGCGTGAGCTGCTTGTTCACTTTATGCAAAGCCGCTGCACAAGCCATCTGGATGCCCATCAACGGCCACTTAGTGCTCGAGCCCTTCTTCTGCAGCTTGCCAGTCGAAGAATTGTCAGTTCCGCCGCAAACCACAGTCCTGATGTTGTCACGTACTCCCGCCGTCTCCTTTTCCAGATGATCAAAGACTTTCAACGCCGCAAGCGAGGCCAACAACTCCGCACTCGTCGATGCCCATTGGCTGTCGCCATCTTCCTTGAAAAGGCAAGGCAAGTCCTGCGGCACCACATCGAGACAAAACCATCTGGCCCCCGACGGGTCCGTCCCCTTCTCAAGTGAGTAGCCCCCGAGCACCACCAAGCCGTTGGCACATTTCGCATCTGTTCTGAAACTCTCCCGAGGTGCCCGCCAATCCTGTAGCACACTGTGGAGTCCTCTGGCGTCCGCTAACTGCTCCCTGATGTACACCAGCGACACGAAGACCATCTCCGGAATCCTCGCCACAGTCCCCTTCTGCAAGACGGCATCAAAAGCATACAGCGGTGCGAGAAAAGGCTTGATCCAAGTCAACACCCTGGAAACAAAGTTGAGCCGTCCAAGGAATTCGGCAAAGCGCCGACCCGTGACGAACCAGTTGTTCGCCTCGGCATTGTCAATCCAATCAAGAACCCAGCGCGTCCTCTTGAGCGAAATCCCGGCGGCACTCTCTCGGTAAGACAGCCAGTAGCCCACGAATTCGCACTCAACACCACCGTGAAACTTCCGGTAAGAAAACGGCGTGCCCAGCACTTCGTAAGCAGCCAGAATCATCCAGAGCACCACGTATTTGTCGGGACCAGTCACCACGATATGAAGGTCATCAACGTACACAATCTGCACATTCCAGAGCCGTCCCATCACTCTCAAGACCCAGCGTCCGATGCATCCGAACAATCTGGCCCAAAGGATCGCAGCTGAACTTACCCCGAAAGTTCCTACGCAATTAAGCCAAATCACTTTAGATGTCGACGAAGTCCGGCAGCCCAATAAGGGCCAGTCGCGTCGTCGTATTTTGGACCTCCTGTGTGCCTTGGCAATGTCCGCCGCAATGGAGAAGGGGACACCAAAATCCTGCCGCGCCCTGGACACAGTCTCGATGATTTCTGCAGGCCCAGGCACTTCGAGTTTGTCTGCAATCCTTATACCATTGTTCAAGCGGACGCCGTGGGTGGCGTCGTGAAGAGGACGGACATCACCACTTGGTTTAAGAATGGCCCCCATGGCGGCCACCAGAAGTCGCCCCTCGCCGTACTCCGCCTTCACGGCCCCTTCAGTCGTCGCCACCATCAAGCCTTCCCGCTCCTCAGCCCTGAAGTGCTCTTCGATCTTATCTGAAGACAGCTCGGCAGAAGAGTAGTTCTGCATCTGCGGTTCAAACTCACTCTCATCTAGCTTGCGGAAGCGGTCCCTCGGCCGGAACACCTGCGGCGCCGTTGGCAGTGGCGAGTCGAAGCCCACCGGCATCCCCTCGGCATAACACTCTTCTCCCTTCACAAGGATCTCCCAGTCGGGGTCACCAAGTAGCCTCAGCGACTCGGCCAGCAAGTACAAGTGGAACGGCTGCCGCTCGGGTACACGCAGCAGGTCTGAAGACGCCCCTGGGATCAACCCGACGATCCTCTGCCTCAACTTCTGCAAGGCAGACTCCGCGAAAGGAGAATTCTTCACATGGCCCGTCGCGAGACGGAATGCCATGTCCTTGGGGTCTTTCAGCTGATCAATCACAAAGTCTCGTAGCAATCCGCGAATTCCCTCTGCATGTGCCACCTCCTCACTCGACGCCAACTTCTCTCTCGCCTCGGGAGCCCAACGGCCAGGCGAACACAACCCGAAGCCGTCCACAAACTCTTGCTTGCCCATTTCAAACTTGCAGATCATGGGCTGCCCGAAAGCGCGACTAGTCTTGGGGTCAAAAGCTTCCCTGGCCGACTCCTCATGATCGACCACCACGACCTCCTGAGCGTCTCCAGTGCCTGAGTTGTCTATCGTCGGCACTGCTGTAGCCAACGTAAAGTTGTCTGAGGAAACGAAGGATTCCGCTGGTGCCTCGCCCCCCGCAGGAGAGGAATCCAAGACAGGAAAGCCCAAGGAAGCCAGAAAAGCCGAATCGTCAGCCGAGAGCAGGTGCACGTTCTGAGGGGTGTATGCAATGGCGATGAGACGATCCCCAACCCAAGGTTGGGTAGCATGCAAGCATTCACGGGCATCCAGGTAGACGGGTCCATCTTGTAAGGAGTGAACAGTGCCTGTGACGGGCGAGCCGTGAAAGGATCGCACCTGCGTACCTGAGTCATCTTGTATCCAAATGCCACCATCAGAAAAGGAGGAAATTGCCACAATCAAGTTGGGCACGGCCGCGTTCCGCGGATCACGATGAACCTCACTAGTGACGTTCTTTGTGAGAACAAAGGCAGCGTAACGGTGGTGCGGGTCCACGGAGTGAAGAAAAGCATTGATCACACGCATGGACTCGGGGAATGTAAAACAAGTGGACCGCGGTGTAGTGAGACCCTCCTGGTGCACAGTGCCTCCAAAGAAAGCGGTACCAGGTTCTGCACTGCCTGTGATCTTATGAGGCCGAGTCTTAGGAAGCAAGTCGAAAAGAATCTGAACTGAAGCACGATCGAAAGAACCGCGTGTGATGCACTCCGTGGCAAAGGCTTCGGCGGAAGAAGGGATGTTGGCCGGGATCAGGTCGGAGTCAGCCACGGCCCTCAGCTCAGGCACGACACTCAAAGAGAGACGGGCGAAGAAAGCAGCGAACTCCGAAGGGTAAGCCGCCGTGGCGGCCGATTTCCAAGTGCCATCCTGAAAACCGCAGGCTCGATCTGCATGTGAATGCGGGCAGCGCAAGAGCGGCCCCACGTAGTCCCCGTCATCATTGAAACGTGGCATCTGTATCCCAAAGTTCAACGCTCCGGGCAAATTGGAAAGCAAGCGGGTGGGTTTGCATGACAAAGCCCCGAAAAGGCATTGATGCAATGCCCAGCAACTGACATCGCCTCCAGCGCACATCTGACGAACCTCATCAAAAGACCAAATGGAAGCAGGCCTCTCACCAGACGGCACACGGCCCAAATCCTCAGGGTGCTCCAAAATGAAGTACAAGCCCTGCTGCCTCTGTAAACGGATGGCCTCAAAAGATTGTTGCACGAAGAAATTTGCCAGCTCAACTTTTGTGCGATCTGAATCACGCAACCAAGGAAAACCCAGCAGATGGCCATGTGAACGAAGTGGGCGTGGGCCAAATGCCCCCGCAAAACGATGCCTAGCCCGCGAAAAAGTGGAACAAGGCGGGCTCAAAATAAGGATATCATAGGCTCCAGACGAAATGTCCTTGAAGAGACGCTCCCAAAGCCTGTGCGACGATAGATCCTGTTCAGGACCTCGCAGCAAATCAAACTCATGCAAATTTAAATCCAGTCCCCGCGACGTGCAGAGCTGCTGTAAGTGTGATCTGATATCGCCTTCCCGTGCCTGCCCAGCGAAAAGATACAGCACGGTGAGTTTAGAACGTCAGTTGGCGACTTGCGCCCCGGTCGGTGCTGCCGCCTTTGCTGCCAAGCTCTGGAAATGCTGCCACATCGGATGGGACTGCATGCATCCTCGGACGCGACATACATGAACTCGACCGCAACTGCCATCACAGCCCTGGGCGTTAAATGGAAAACAAATCTGACGTCCATCCGGCGTGTGTGTCCAGAGCGCATGATCACTCTTGCCCTTGCCACCGCCGAGGCCCTTGCCATCACCCTTGGAATCATCGCGGTTGGCCTTGCCCCCCTTGCCGTTCTTGCCCTTTCCATGGCCCCGTCCTTTGCCTGTTCGCTGCCACTTGGCCGGGCTCTCGGACCAATCATTGTCCCACTGTCGGAACCGTCGCTGTGGCCAGAAAGGATCTGGCCGCGGTGGAGGTGCAACCTGCTGAAGGGCAATGGGCGATGTAAAATACTGCTCCTTGAGCTGAGCATCGGACGTCACCTCCGCGAGTGTATCCTTCAAAGGCCGATTGCCCTGCACAGCCCGTTTGATTGCCTCCTTTCGCAGCTCAAACTCGAAATTCAGCAACACTGACCAAGGGGGCCGCAATGGTACAAGTTCGGTCTGATTGCCCTTGCCACCTGCCGTCGGCACCTTCATAAGGTAAACCTTGTCAGACAGCAGAAATGCAACATACTGATTCCAGCACTCGGGGTCCATGCCTCGCAAGAGCTCGCGGTTGCGATACTTGGTCGCCAAGAAGCACCACAGGTTGCACTCAACACGCATCACCGTGCGCAATTCCTCAGTGCCCTGAGGCAATGATCCCTTGACCTTCGTCCGCACGATGCGAACATGGCCTGAAGAATCGACTGCAGTCTGGATCCCCTGAGTCTTCACAGTCTTGCGTGATGTAACCTCGGACAGTGGCGAAGCCGTCGGCTCATGAGCCTCAAGCTCCTCCATCTTGCATGAGATGTAATCCTCGGAAGGCTCATGTGCATCTTCAAGCCTGCCGTGGGTCGCCTCGAAGGCGGCTCTCATCGCACTCCGATCTGTCTGTGTGACGGGCCTCGAAACCCCTAACACGCGCGCTTCCGCGCGAAGCTCCTGCTCTTTCGCGGCAAACTGTTGACATGCCTCCCAAGCACTAATCACAGCTGAGATCCCAGCACGCTTATCAAGAGTAGTAGGCTCCAGAGCGAAATCGTTCTTCAAGGCATCTCGGATCCCTGCACGGGTGTCCTCATAAGACTGAAACCGCCTCACAGTCTTGAAAGACTGTGTGAGTTTGTACTGCAATCCAAGCGGAACTCCAGCTTCCTGAAGGATGTGTGCAAGTTCAGCATCGACTTCAGTGGACAAGAACTTCGAAGCCGCTTCCTCACTCACTCCAGCTGGCAAATCCATGTCAGGAAGTTCACTGCAAGCTACCTCCGAACACACTATGTGAAGAAATGCCACTGTGTCTGAAGAGTCTGATCGGCTCACCTCAATTTGCACAACGTAAAGAAGAGGAAGACAAGACAAAGCACTGCACCTGATACTGACGTGACTGCGGCTATTCTCAATCTGATGCACTGTCCCAATCTGACACTCACGGGACGTGGCACAACTGAAGCACTTCCTGCTTTGACTCACATGACAAGCCACTGATGCGACGAAATTTTCACACCCCTCATGTGTCACGGCGGCTCCACTGCATCTGAGGATGCGGACTCACTGCTGACCGCCCCTTGCTCCTGTAGCCGGGGCCTGCATAACTTACAGATTGCATCTGCAGAATCCTGAGTGATGCTGTACAAAGGAATGGTCTCCAAGCAACGCTCCTGCCTTACAGCACAAGTGCGTGACATGTGAAGACGTCTGTGCCCACTACGACTCACAACTACAAAGTACGGCGCATCTGCATCTTCCGGAGAAGGCGCCGGCTGGTCCTTCGGTGGCTCGGCCACCGCTTGCTGATGGCTTCCAGGGTCAACTGCAATTGCCGGAAACTTTCCTTGAAGACTCCAGCACAAGTTGAGTTCACACCACACCATGACATTGTGGCGTGCAACAGCCCCGTTAGAAACTCCATGCTGCTCCGCAAACGCCTTTAAGCGAAGAAGCAGCTCCTCCTCGATGTAGCCGGGCTGGTTCTTCCCAGTCAGGAGTGTCTCGCACACCTCAGCCTGAACCTGCTGTATAATTTGTCTGGCCGTCAGCACATAAGCGGTTGACCCCTGCCGAGCAGCCGCCCAACGTCCGAGGAAGTCACGCTTCTTTTCGTCGACCCCAATTGCGGCTGCCAAGGATGGAAGGAAATGCCTCGGCGAGTGCCCAGACCAGAAGAGCGCCAGCTCCTTCGGAACCAGCTTCGTTGTCTTGCTCAGACCCCAGACTCCATCCTTCTTCCCCGGGACCGGCAGCTCCAGGATCACACGTCGCACAAGGTTGGCGACGCCTTCTGCGCCAACGTACTCCCTCGATTTGACTTCCCACGACTCTCCAATGTCAGGACACAGGAAATCCCGAGCAAACTTGAAATCATCGCTCATCAAGAGTTTGCATGAATGCGCAATCCAGTCATATCCAGAAAGGCTTATGCTCCTCACAAGGTATCCGTGCAGCTGCCCGATCCGTTTTCCAGGTCCAGAGGTCTTGGTCCGGGAAAGAACAAATTTCATTCCAAGCTGTGACAGTGTAACACTCGAAGGATCGATCCCCTGTATATCGTCACATCGCAGCGTTCCCCAACACATAAGCAAGAAAATGAAGCATCCGAAACGCAGCCCAGGGGGTGTCCCGACCTTCACCAGCAGAATCTCAGCCGAGAGCACCATTGCCACCGTAATGAGCTCCGCCTGCTTAACCGGCTCGGCACCTGTCTCCAATTGCATCGTCCATGCCTTCACAGACTCCACAAGTAAAGGATCCTCCGACAGCCTATCTGCTGAAGGCCTCTGCCCAACCAGCTCCAGCAAACCAAGGCTTGACAAGATACTCTGCGGAACAGTCTTCCCCATCGGTCTGATCTGATGCCTCTCAACGAAGTACTGCAGCAACAGCGATGCGTCTCCTGGCCAAGGTTTCCCGGTCGCCTGAATCATCCACTCACGCACCGGCTCCCACGTGCGAGCCCGATTCTTCAAGGTCTTGCCGCGCCTGCTACCGAAAGCCCGTAGCCATGCCGATTCCGCGTCAGTCAGCGACCCAATTCTCTCAGATGCTGGCAGAGCTGCCTCCTGGATGTAGCCTGCGAGCTTGAGACCCCAGCGGCGCCTGCACAAGTCCTCTGCTTCCACACGCGCCCCTGTTCCAGCTTTGCGAAGCTTTAACTTCTTCTCAAGAGCAGCCAAACCCAGCATAGGATCCGAAGCCAAAAGCCCCTCATACAAATCGGCAGCCGTCACACTGGGCCCACGACGGATATAAGGCCCCCGTCGGACATTCTGCCCGATCTCGCGAACAGTCCTATCCACTGTCCCCTGATGAAGCGCACACCACTTATGCACTGATTCAGAAAGCGCCACACGATCCTCGATCTTAAGAACATCACTCATCGATTCATCCACGATTGCCTGTACATCTTCAAGCGTAGCTGCAGCCAAGCAAAAGTTTCCAATATGAAAGAAGACCTTCGAAACACGCTCGCAGAAAACAGGGTTGATTTCTCGAATCTGCTGCCACTCCGAGCCCATTGCCGGAATTCACTCATGGTGAGCCATAGCGCCGGAGGTCCCCTACGCCCACCCACTCACAAAAGAACTTGAGTCGTAACTTTGCCATGCAAGGATCTCATTCACACTGTACAATGATCAAGCACTCAATCTAAAATCAAGCCGAGGTAAAATCAAGCTCAAGTGAAATCTTCAATCACATGTCCGCAAGTATTCAAGCGCTCAGAGCCGTACTGTTTTTCCCCCCCACCCCCCCTCAAGGCTCACGAACACACTTTTGGTAGGACCCAAGCAGCATGCATGTTCAGACCAAGGATCGCCCACATGAAGCGAACCTTGCGTACGTTCGATTCTTTGTCGACTTTTCCTTGTTTTTCGTCCTTCTCATCGTCTTCGTTTTCCTCCTCCATGTCGTCGTCGTCGTTCTGCTCTGCGTCCATGTCCACGTCTGCTTCCTCCTCACTTTCTTCCTTCTTGGCGAAGTCCTCCTTGGTCGCTTCGTTTAACCTGACAGAAAAGAAAACACATATACTACTTACATCATGATGATGAAGATGAACCCAAACTCCGCATTGCCTCTCGGTGAGCAAATTCTGCGCACGATTGGGCAACACCACAATTGCCATGCTGTTCGTAGGGCTGGAGGCCAATATGTTCGTGATCGCCGTGAGGATGCCACTTGTTTTCGTTGCAGTCACGATTCCCGCAGTCGGCAGTGAGCACCACACGACATTTACGTTGGCAGCTTCCTGC